ATATATATATATATATATATATGTACATATATATATATATATAAGTTATAGTATAGTAGTATATACAATTTGATTGTATGATCTGGTTGAACTGTAAAGTGCCTTGAGATGACATGCGTTGTGAATTTGGCGCTATATAAATAAAGTGAATTGAATTATATATACGGTATATATAAAATATATATATAACATATATCTATATAAATATATATATATAATGTTATAGATATATAAAGCATAACTTTTATATATGTTATACATGTATATATATATATACGCTATATATAAAACAACTTTTATATATGTTATATATATGTTTTGTAATCTATATAACTTTATATATGTTCTATATATATGTTATATATATAAAATAACTTCATACATATACATATAACATACCTTAGGACGGACAGACCTGGGATTTGAACCCTCAACTTCCTTGCTAGAAAATAGCAAACAGATGTAAGAGATATTGCCTCATAATTATATTGTAGTTTATTGAATGTTCTGGGAAAGTAATCAAATGTTTTGAGTAATTTGTCTTAATTTATGAGAAATAATAGCGTAATTTTTCCTCACAAGAAATATGAATGTTTAAGCCACATTGTAAAAATAGATTCGTTTCTAGAAGTCAGACAGAAACACACCCGTACGATCCCGAGTAAATCTTGAGGACTCTGTTCATAACCTGTTTACAGTACCTTCCCAGAGAGAGTTTGAAATGATTCCATCTATTTAAAGCATCAGGCCCAGGTTTAACATTTACCTAAAAATCCTATGGAGCTGGTCTGCACAGGTGATCGGGAGTTGGACTTGCTGTCTGGACCGACAGCCTCCATGTTGATTCTACTGATGTGATTTCTGAAAGAATCCAGCCACAAGAATCAAAGCTCTTCTCATATCCCTAAAAGCCAGAAAATGTCTTCCCTATACAGCTAAACTATACTATACTGTTGTCTGTGCATTCTAGTTTATTTTCTTTTGAGACCTAAATTGTGATTTGATAATATATCATAAGGGGGCAGCTCGTTACAATTTTCAAAACATTGCAGAAATGGGTATCAATAAAAATGTATTTGATATTTTTAAAGTTACCAAAATGAATAAATTAGAGCAACACTGACACACTTAGCCACTAGGGGCGCTAAACTTCTCATTTAATATTTCGTAGGTTAAACACTGTTGCTTAAATAACTAGAACTTTATGATCAAAGCTAAACTTCCAGGAGTCGGAAAATAGCAGGTAAACAGAAGGAGACCCGTGCTTTGCAGAATTTTATTCAACACAGCAATGAAAGCATCAACCCCCCCCCCCCACATTGGAGCAAACCAGACTGGCTTGTGTGCTGAAGGAAAGCTGCAGCCCTCCTTTCCATTAATGTCCCCATAAATACTTTGCTTGCTGGGCAACCCTGGCGCCAAAAATCCAAGAGAAGAAACTAAACTTTTGTCGATTTCAAACCACATTCAAGATTTTCACATTTCATTTCAAACACCCTAAACCTAAATCACTACAAAGACATTATATACAGGCCGGGTTGAACCCTTTCACTGCAAGCAAGTACTTCAGAAAAATAAAACAATTCCTCATTTCATGTAGAAAATAAAACGTCTAATTTAAGGTGAACTAAAACTGTCAGAGCTGCTCTGTCCACATTGTTTCCACTGTCAAACAAAAAGATATTCAGAGGCACTCACATTTTGATGGTTACCAGCTGTTTAGGATTCCCTAACAGAAAATCAGCTTAAACCAATTATAAAAGAAAAATTAAACTTTTGATATGGACGGTAACTAACTGTTTAATGGCCAGCAGCTGCATTATGAATCAAAATCTGGCCTGTTTATTTATAAAAAGCGTTGCCATGAATACAGAGGAGGCTTTTTAATGCTACGACTCAGGAAACTGGAATACAAACTATTCTAAGAAATTCTTTACTAGTTTGACATCATGTCTGCATCCCATTATTGAGATCAATAATCTGAAAAAAAGCAAATCTTAAAATGTATTTTTCTTTTAAAATATATACAGAATATATTTAATAAATAATCATCAACCTGTAAACTAAACTTCACTCGACAATCTTTTTCTAAACAAACATTGTCCAGATGATTCCTGACAGCAGGCTGCATAAATGGTGTTCCTGGAGGAAAAAGGGGACAGGCTGATGCTGTTTAGGTCGCCTTACGTCGTTATGTTTTGGTTTTGTTGAAAGTATGGAAAGTAAAATGAGATAAAACTTAATGGTCGGGGACAGATGGGAGGAAAAGGATCAGGCAGCTTCACAGGGCCAGCAGCGGTCTGCGGAGGCCCTTAGGAGGAGGCAGCGCCCGCCGCTCCCCCTTCCAGCCCCGTCAGTCCTGTTTGACGTTCCCCAGCGCCCTGAGGCGCTCCAGGAGGGGAGGGTGGGAATAGTGCCACATGGAGAAGAGCCAGTCTGCCACGGGGAAGCCCAGGTTGTCCTTGTTGAGCTTGATTAGAGCAGAGTACAGCTCTGAGGCTTTGCCCATACCACGAGCAAAGGCGTCTGCCTGGAACTCAAACCTGCGACTCAGGACCGTCAGACAGAAAGATAGAAGCTGCAGAGAGAGGGAGGGAGGAGGGAGGTGAGCATACGAACACCTTTAGATCATGGAAGACGTGCGATAAGGCAACCTCCATCACCTCGTTGTAAGGAGAGAAGATGAACTGGAAGATGATCATCAAACCAATCAATGTGGGCTGACTGTCGGTGAAGCCAAAGGCCACAAACAGCTCCCTGCGTCCAATCAGAACCGCAAACAGGGAGAAGCAGAGGAAGGAGTTCATCTGCAGACAAGAGAGTGAAACACAGTTAGTTTATCCTAAAGAAAAATGATCAAACTTTCTGTTAATGACGCCTCATCACCTGACTGATGACTATGTTCTTGACGGTGTGACCGAGCTTCCAGTGGCCGAGCTCATGACCCAAAACAGCCAGGATCTCCGCGTTGTTGCATCCTTGCTTCTTATTCTGTGAAGAACGCAGAAGAATGTTAGTTTCCTGTGCTGCTGAGGCAGGATGTCCAACGCTCTCCTGATGCATCACTGGGAAAATGAGAATCAAGGTATAGTTGTTAGAAACATGCAGATATTTGAGTTTGTTCCTGTATCGGCGTCGGCCGCTGCATAAAAATGGCAGCCATGCTTTGAGATTAAATGAAGCAAACGCACTGCCGCTCCCCCCACCTGCTATCTATTGCTAATGTTTGGCTTGAATTGTAATTTAAACATTTATTTTATGGGTTACATTGAAACTTGTGTAACATTATTTGTGATTTTTAACATATAAACAGAGGAAAAAAATTAGGGCTGCAACAACGAATCGATAAAATCGATAAAAATCCACTTTTAAAAG